TAGACACCAGACCTTTTCCAACACCACATTCATTAGAATTATGTCATATTTGAACAACAGCCCAACCTTTAAGCTGGCATAATACTCTAGCAGCTAACTGTATTTTTTGTGTTTGTGTAACAAGTTTGTTCATGCTCTCATTCTGAGCTGCAGTTATTTGCATGGCCGGGCGCGTCACTTGTGAGTTTTGTTTCTTCATCCTGTCCCATGCTCCTTTAATAATGTTTAACATTTATTAAAAGGTGTCCACATTTTCTAAGAATTTTTTGTTTATTTTTTCTTTCAGTTAGTTTCAGTGCTTGTTCCAGTTAGTAACATGGACTGAAATATGATCTATCAAGCAGCATGACCTGGAATTCAAAGGGTTAAACTTGCTTGTGAGGCTTTTTTTAAGTCACATTTTCAGTTCTCACTTCCGTACCTGACTGTTGCATTATGGGTTGTAATCAATGTGAACACAGACAAAGAACACTCAGATCCAAACAATAGTTATTTGCAGGAGGTTCAAGAGTCTCACGGAGGAATTACAGTTTGGTGTTATAGTGGTTGGGAGTCATCCTCGACACACGTACCGAATGCTAACTGATATTTTATCTGATATGTCATTGAAATCATCCATAGAAACATATATGATGAACCACCAGATAGACAGTAATGAAACTCTCAAAATGTAATCATTGGATGGACGTCCACAATTGCAGTCAACCCAAATCAAGATAGCCATAACAGCCATACATTGTAGAAGAAGAAAGAAGAAGAAAATATCATTTCTATAGCACCTCTCAAGATAAAAATCACGAGGTGCTTCACAAACACAAAAAATGTAAAAATATGAAAAATAATTTAGAAAATGGTTAGAAATATATTTAAAATGAGCGAAAAATAGACAATTGTGATTAATAAAAATTTAAGAAAGAGAGAGTGAATAGGAAAGAGGGAAATCAGTGGATCCTGAGGAAGGTGGAATAGGTGGGGAGAGCAGAATAGAGTGGTGAAGAAAGTCTTACAAAAGCCACTTTGAACAAGTGAGTCTTCAGTTGCTTATTAAAGGAGACCACTGAGTCCACTGATCTCAGTCTCAGGGGGAGAGAGTTCCAGAGTCTGGGGGCCACAGCAGCAAATTATCTGTCACCTTTGGTCTTTAGCCTGGTGCGCTGCACAACCAGTAGGCTTTGATCACTGGACCTCAGGGACCTGCTGGGGGGGTAGAGACTAAGAAGATCACCAATGTAAGATGGTGCTTGTCCATGTAAGGCCCTGTAGACCAGAACCAGGATCTTGAAATGAACCCTGAAGTTGACTGGCAGCCAGTGAAGCTGGAGGAGAAGCGTGGTGATGTGGGTGTGTTTGGAGGACTTGGTCAGAAGCCGAGCACAGGCATTCTGAACCACCTGTAGACGGTTCAGGGAGGTTCTGCTCAGACACATGAAAAGAGAGTTACAGTAGTCTAAGCGTGAGGAGATGAAGGTGTGGATAACTGTCTCAAGTTCAGAGCGGGACAGAATGGGACTCAGCTTCGCAATGTTCCTGAGATGGAAGAAGGAAGAGCGAACAAGAGAACTGACATGAGAATCCAGGGTGAGAGCTGGGTCAAAGGTCACGCCAAGATTCCTGACAGAAGGTGTGAGAAGCAAGCTGACCAAGAGAGTCCCTGACTTTGGGAACCAGCTTGTCTGGGGCACAGATGAGGATCTCAGTCTTATCTTCATTCAGCTGAAGAAAGCTCCCAGCCATCCAGGTTTTGATAGAGTCTAAGCAGGTGTGTAACAGCTGCAGCTTAGACAACTCATGGAGCTTAAAGGAGATGTACAGTTGGATGTCATCTGCATAAAGATGGTAGGAGATTCCTTTGAAGGAGCTCAGGATGTGCTGAAGAGGAAGCAGATAGAGGAGGAAGAGCAGAGGCCTTAGCACAGAACCTTGTGGGACA